CAGAATATGTCGCAATTTGCGACACATGCGACACATTATTTTTTAGTGTGAAAATCGAATAGGACAAGTTCGAGGCTAGAATAGTTTGTATCTGCCCTTTTGGTTGAAGCTAGATGGGTATACGGAATATCTCTTAACCTCTTTGTCAGACAATTAGTGTCATTAGGAATAAACTTATTAAATAAGAAAGCTCATCTTACTGGATTAAAATCTTATTTATGAAAACACTTGTTTGCTTTTGTTTTCAGGTGTAATTTGTTTAATAACAAATTGTTGTTTAAATTCGGAAATAATCAAATCATTTCAAATTGATAACGAATATTCAGAAGCTATGTCTAATATACTAAATTATAAAGAATTTCAGCAAAAAGTAAAATCAAAATGGATAAACGATGAGACAATCTTAATCAATATGGTCATACAATGTTTAACAAATTGTTGTCGTAGTGATAATAATGAAATGATAAGAACAGTACTACGTGAAAAAAAAATAATATCAAATTGTTTAATATTAACACAAATATGTCACGATGATAATTTAGGCATGAGAACATCTCTACTATTAGCCGAATTATTAAATGACTCAGACTTAAACGCAACTAGCACCGATGTTATTAATGATCTAATTAATGATTATTTTACATATTTAATTCGTGCTTTTAATTCAACAACACAATCTTATCATCACACTGATATATTATTATTATTAAAAGGTCTCTTATTATTATGTAAAAATGATATTATTCAAGATTTAATATCGAAGACAGATAACATAAAAATTTTAATAGAAATGTCAATACAATATCCAATCATGTATGATATACTATGGACATTATCGTTTCATTCCAATATTCAGATACAATTGAAGAATGATAAAGCATTTGTAAATACAATTAAAAGATTGAAAGATGATAAAGCAGTATCAGGTATATTGTGGAATTTAGGATTGGAACAAGACTCTATTAATAAGAAAAAGCATCAAAAACGTTCACAACCGCTTAGTAAGCTAAACATATTATTACTGAAAATATATCTAATGAACATATTACTCCGATAATATCATCGCCTAATATTCAGAAACAATATCAAAACAAAGAAGTCAAAAAGTGGACAAATACTGATATTGTTCATTGGTGTGAAGATTATAATTTAATAACTTTTTCAAAAATTTTATCGAATTTCGATGGTAATAGTTTAATACAATTACATTTGTTATGTAAAACCAATTCAAATCAAGTTATTGATTTATTACAAAATGATAGTAAAAAATTAGGGTATGATTTATCTATCTTAGAATTAGCACGTTTTCAAAGTCAATTAGAAAAAATAATTTTTGAAAAAGATGAAAATCGTAAAAAGACAACATTATCAATAAAATCACCAACGATAAGCACTTCAAATAGGGTATCTAAAACATGTTTGATATTATGAATTTTTTCATTATCAACAGAAAAATTGAACACACAAACAGACTGAGAGAGAGAGCTTTTTTAGAAAAAAAAAGATACGATTATTGACAAAGCAATCAGATGTATCCAGCAGAGGCATAAAATGGCTTCGAATGTTTTTTGATATCTCGGGACAATTAATTTCTTTTTAAGAAATATTCAACGCGTGGAGAACAACTTTTTAATGATTGCTCTTTGAATCTTTCTGACAGATTCTGTATTTTTACTGGACTATGTAATAATTTTATGTAATTTCGAAATAAAAGGCGGATGATTATATTTTTAAAGACGCGAGAACGAAAGTAGCTGTCGACCTGTGGTTTTCAGTTTTGGAAACAAGACACCTGATGCTACATTTTACTGGTCTAGGAACTAGACATAACATTAGCAGTCGGCTAAAATGAGTCTTGTATCAAAGTCAGTTTGCCCAAGGAGGTTGAAAAACCTAGTAAAAAGCTATTTTCTGAAAAATATACAATATTAGGGTGCATTCATCAAATATTAAAAAGTTTATATTTCCGTCAAAGCCCATCTACAGTACTTTAATAAAGTATCGATATAATACATCCATAGATATTGAAAGGTGGTGGTTTAGAGTTTTCTAGTAGATTGCACAATAATAGGTATACACCGGTATCGGTATACTGATACCGAACATACCGACTTTTTTGATTTTTTCACTTGAAATGAGATAGTTTAGCGTAATGGACAGTCAGAACACAAAAAACATTCAGCCGTGTATTCTGAGCATGTGTGAGAACAACTTACATAGAAAATAAAGGAAAAGTTTGACCTCAGAAAGCAAACAAAGCTTACTAGAAGAATATATCGAGAACAATTGAAAAATTCCCGCCAATTCGCGACACATGTAAATAGATTAAATGATGAAACGATGATAGTATTTCAAGAATATGTTCAATTTTGAAATCATCACCGACACATACAAATCGAAGCAAATTTGGAAAATATACACTCAGTTGAGATTAGGTTAAGTTAAGTTAAGTATTGTATGAAGTCCTTTTGATCTTGAAAGCACATGGTTGAATAGCCCAAAATGTGTGCTTTCCAATGCATACTTTTTGTGTCGATAGGATAGCTTTTTGATGGTTTTTAATCGAGTTTCAGAACCCCTATACAAGTTTCGATATAATCCTTCATTATATAGTGATATTCTGTTTCACTCTCCACTCTTCGAGGTATTTGCCTGTAACATCCGAGATGTTTTCACATGTGATGAGCTGCTTTTTTTTTAATACGTTTTTGATTTGTGGCAAGCGCAAATTATCCAGGAAAGCAGTCGAACTGTGTGTGTGAAGCAGCTTTAAGACAGTCAACGGTGACCGTTGAACGGTCTTCACTAAAGCGGGCACCTTAACTGGAAATCAACTACTGCTGTTACTCTCAAAAAAACAAGTGCTCCGCCAGCTAAACAAGGCACTTTGATAGACGATGAATGAGTACCCTCATCCGCGCACTTTCAAGCATAGAAATGTGTCCCGTCGAGACAAGTGCCCTACTGTGGGCTATTTTAAGCGTCACGTTCACTGCCCGAGGGGCACTTGTTTTTTCACAGTGTACATGTTTTAGGTGATCAAAGATGTAAAAGAATCCTTTAGAAGAACTAACAAACATCGCACTTGTGCGCAAGGTCCCGTCAGAGCTCAAAATCATCCGCTGGAACAAATACAGCACACAGAACGACTCGAGATTTCCATTTTAACAAACTACAAGAAAATGAGAATTTACATCCATATGGTATTGTATTGATAAGTCTCACAATTTAAAAGGAATACTAAAAAGATGCTTCGTGGCATCAGTGGTTATGTTCAAAAGTACATCAATGCTCAACTATGCACCGATAAAACACATTTTGTCAACGAATGTACAGATAGATTCAATATAATAGAAATCCTCTATGAACGACCGCATCGGAACGTAGCCTCTACGATAACAGCTGAATTGAATTGTTTTCTCGTTTGTGAAATATCACTATCGTAACCATGAGATCATTTGTCTTGCTTGTGAAGGCAAATTGTACTTGTGCAGTGAGTAACGGCTACGTTGACAGAGTTCAAACGATCGAATATTCTACGTTTTCTTAAACACTTATATTAAAACAACAAAGTTTATCTGAAAAATAAGACTCTCCTCGTTATGGTTACCGTTTTTAATGAGAAAACGAAGGGGAAAAGAAAGATATTGCAGTTGCAAGAACACAATATAAAATTACCTTCACTATCACTGAAAGATTTCCAGCGCAGTTGTTGTCTCGATGACGATGATGCAAGGCAACCGTTATCGAATAGATTTAATGTATTTTCTCTGATTAGTTGCGCATTTTCTTGAATAGTGGGATATTGAAATAGAACAAAAATGTTTAAAAAATTATGAATTTTCCAAAAACGTATCATTGGATAGCCCTTGAAAATCTCTACAAAGTGAGCTGATCAGAACATCCAAAAAGGTGGGTCCAGTCATTAAAGATATGGAAAAGAAGAGTTGGGGTATTATCTAGAAAAATCCGGTGCGGACGGCATGCGATGTTGTATCGGTACGTATAAATTTAAGTTTATACATACGTACTAGTTCCACATTTTTCCAGTCACCGTTTATTATTTACGATTGCACTATGTTTTACTCGGACTTTTCTTCGAGAACATAGTGCAATCAAATTTTAATGCGGGCAGACAATGCGTTGATCTTGTTATAATCTTTTTACTTAAAGAGAAAGTGTGTCCTAAAGGAACTGAAACACTGATTTCACCGTGTTTTACCCGGTTTTCTCTTCGGGAACATAATACAATCAGGGTCAATCATTCACCTCAGACTCACTTTGAAGTTGAGATCAAACTTGTACACAGCAGTTTTATTAACACGCCCAGGTCCAAGAATCAGATAACAAGATCGTGGAAGATCTTACAAGATTATATATAATCTTGGATAATCATATACAAGAAATCACAAGATTGCAAAATATCGTATATATTCTTATCAATTTCCTATAGGATCTTACAAGATTTCATATGACACCTTGTAGCAAGATTCTTATAAGATTTTACAAGATTTTTCTTATCACAGGAATTTACAAGATTTTCTATGATCTTATAAGATCTTACAGAAAGAAGCTATAAGAAATTATACGACCTTACAAGAAGCCACAAGATTTGATGCGATCTTATAAGATCTTATACGATCATACTGCATGATGTTATCAGTATGGTTTGTACGTTGGACTATTCAATCTTGGAGTAGGATCCGATAATATCTTATGATAAGAATTTACAAGATTTTACATGACTCTGTATAATTTTATAAGATCTTATAAGATCTTGTTGCGATTATAGCCCGGTTCGGGATAAGTTCATGTATATGCACACAAACTTCAAAAGCTGGGAGTTGTAGGAGTCAGTGCATCGGCCGATTATTAGGCAATTCATCTAAATAGGGAGACATAGTACCAATTGACTCGTCAAGTTAATATTGATGCTGATGTTTACATTAGCGTCATAATCACCATCACTAACATTATCGATATCAACATCACAATCAGCATCTTCGTTTACATTGACGTTACCATCAACATTAACTTGGTGCTTTAATAAATCAGTCAGTGATGAGCCGATCAGTCGAGTACGATTTCCTTTTATCTGTATCGTCTAATAATCGACAGATGTACCGTATTCTGCAAGGAATGCATCAAGTACTCGATGCACAACCCGATACATCGATAAAAACGGCCCTTTCCTCTAGATGCTGCTGCTGTGCTGTAGCTGTCGATCATCAGTAGACCGGCCGACCGCTTTATATCTCTGCGAGGAGCTATCGTTAGTGAGTGCTTTATGTGTACAAAGAAACAATTAATGACAAACTGACCACTTCATTTTCCATTTTTTCATATTGTGGTGCTTGATATTCTTCTACTTTTGAAATCTAAAGATAAAGCAAATATATATTGACATCCCATCAACGGAAAAAGCACAGAATCCTGGAATCCTGAATTCTCCTGGATTCCAAGGATTCCCTATGATTCATTCGGATTCTCCAGGATTCCATAGGATTCTCTTGGAATCCATAAGATTCCCTTGGATTCTCTGGAACTTCCCCCCAAAACACAATATTTTGTTCTGTTTCTGGGAAAAGTTTCCCAAAATATAGAACACTTTTGTTCTGTTTCGGGAGAAGTGTAGAAGCCCGAATTCCATCGGAATCCACCAGATTCCACCCGATTCCCTTGGATTCCGTTGGATTCCATTGGATTCCGTGACATTCCATGGGATTCGAGGATTCTGTGCTTTCCCCCTTGCATCCCATACTGCAATACAGTCGAGGAAAATTGAAAGTATACCCTTTGATTTTCTTTTTTATTACTATACGTTTTTCATTTATTAACGTACTATATATAGGAATGAAGCCCAGAACACGCTGCATCTTTTGGTATATTTACATTGAACATCAAATGCAGTTTAAAATGTAAAAAGTCTATTAGAAAAAAAGTGACATTTGCTTATTTTACAGCTTTTACGATGTTGTAACTTTTTATTTTACATATATCTCGGCTTGGGTAAATGATAAAACCTTGAATTCTTTTCCAAAAGATGCGCCATGAAAAGTTCTACAAAATCTGTATGATCGAATTCCTTTTTACCTGTTTTAGTGGTTTTTCTTATACTCATAATGAACAACTTACATGGCGGTGTCACCTCCGATCAATTTTGAAAATGTTGGAAGACCTTTTTGTTCTGGATATATCTCGACTTGAAAAAATGATGGAATATTGAAACTTTTTTTAAAAGATGTGTTGTCGAAAGCTCTACAAAACAAAGAAATTCGATCATACAGTCTCTGTAGAACCTTTCACGGTGCATCTTTTGGAAAAAAATTCAAGATTTTATCATTTACCCAAGCCGAGATATATGCGCGAAATAAAAATATGTTACAGCATTATGGACACCCGGTTTTGACAATAAAAAAAAATGTTCTTTT